GAGAGCCCCTACAGTAAGTGTTAACTCTGAAATCTATCGTTTTCAGTAGAGCTTTTCATTTGTCTAAAATATATATTGATTTTTCACATTTCACCTTCACTCAAATTGATTAAACTCCCTTTCTCCCTATCCCTTTCTTGCAAATACCAGTTTAACCCCTGTGGGCGTGCCATGCACTATAAAATGCAATAAACCCAACGCTGACTTTATGTAACCCAGTAGAGTAATTCTTGCCGTTTTATTTTTAATAAATGCAGCAATCTATATAGCCCAAATTTAATGGTAAATTCACAATAACCACAGCAGAATTCAAACAAGAAAGTAAAACATTGTCATATACTTTCTAATCCAGCTAACTCCAGTTCAACTCATACAGCTAGCTAAATCCCTTTGGTGGTACACAACAGACAGTTAGCCTATGTAATGAAATTTTAATATATATATATACACACACACACACACACACACACTATACTAACTATAGAACACACAAGTAATTTAGTGCCAATAATGTAATATTTTACTGTATGTTACTGTAATGTTTCTTGGAAGGCCTGGGCATGGTAAGAAAACACCAGAGCAGAAACATGAAACACTTTAACACGAGGTATCTTCAAGCCTCCGCACAGCCCAAGTCAAACTACAGATAACTTTGTGCACGCCTTTTGACTTCCCTTTTAAAGTTGGGCAGTCGACTTTAGTCTCCAACTCTAAATATCCCAGCCCTTTATCCGTATCGGTCTGACCTCTTTTTCTCAGACCTATTCTCTTTTCCTACATTCAAATCTCACTGCAACAAATGTGTACAATCCATTTTATGAGGTGCAAGGAACATAAACGCACAATTTCCAGCCCCTGTGCACAGTGTCCTGTCCCTTTCAAACTTCTAACCTTTTTCTAAAAACATCTCTTCTTAAATCATGCATGACTGTACCTTCACCAGTCAGTTGGTGAAAATGGGTTGAGGGATTGAAGCACACCTTTGTCTGCTCTATTTTTCTTTACTCTCTTTCATCTTTCATCCTGTCCTCTCTCAGTGTCTAGTAATGAAGTTAACCAAAGTGCTACCTTCCTTCACACTCTTTTGTTCCACCTGTGTACGTTCCATTTGGTGTGCGCTTCCTCTTTTCCTCTTTCTATCTTGTATCTTTGTCTACTCATGCAGCAACAAACATCAAACCTGTTCCGGTCTCTGGTCCTTTCTTCCTCTGTCTCTTTCACTCTCCCTCTTTACTTTCCATCAATCCCATCTCCTTCTCTTTCCCCGTCTGTCACTCCTTCTCATCATTTACTTTCCTCTGCATCTGTCTGACCAGTCGTGCGGTTAACAACAAAGGCAAGCAGGTAGTTGCTGCACACCAGGTTGATTCATATGGTACACCGAGTCTCTGACTTGCCCCAGCTAAGCACATATACACGCAGACACAACCAACACTCAAACTCACTTTCATCTCTAATTCACAGGAAGACAAGAACAGGGAGCATGGATCATAGATCCCTCACATCAGGACACAGGCTCCTTTTAGTCCTTTCATCATGTAGCACAGCCACTGGACCAGGACTGCAATTAACTATTATTTTAATAGTCTGTCCATAATTTTCTTGATTAATTGATTAGCTTTTTGGTCCATAAAATGTCAGAAAATAGTGGAAAGTGTGATCAGTGTTTCTCAAAGCACAAAAGGACGTTCCTTTTCTGCTTTTTTCAGATTAATCGATTATCAAAATAGTTTGGCAATTAATTTAATAGTTGATAACAGATTTAATAAATTTTTATTTCTATAGCACCAATTCATAACAGAAATTGTCTCATTGCACTTTTCATAAAGCAGGTCTAGACCATACTCTTAACATCATAAGTGTTATTTTTTTTAAGAACACACACTGAAGAAGCAATAGTCTAAGATGAACATTTTAAGGTAGTATTCACTGCAGGCGTACTGTACTGCAGCATTACATCATGCAGATGCTTATATATCTGTGATCAATCAGTGTACTTTGTAAGCCTTGCTATGTGGGCTTCTCTTTGTTGGGTTGTCGCATGCAGGTTTTAAGTTTGCTCCTATCTTTCCTTCAGGTATAAATCAATTATTTCTATATTTGTATTTCACAGGAAACAGAGCACAAACTGTACTTGAAAACATGTGTAGCCCAAATTCCTCAACACACCCACCCACCAGGACATTACATTGACTTACATTGATTTCCTTAACCCTAATCACTACTTGCCTAACCTTAACCCTTACCCTAGCATTAACTTAAACCTAATATTACCCTGCTCTTAAACCAAGTCTTCAACCTAAAATGTACTGATTTACGTTATAGGGACTTTTGTCCACAAAAGGAAGGCGATACCCCACAGTGTGACTGTGTGAACAGATGTCCCCACAACATGAGTAATTCAGGCTCACAACCATAAATGAGTTTAGATTTCCAATCAAGGTATAATTACAATGCAAGACACATGTAAATAAAGGAACATACACCCTCATGAACAAACATGGTTCCAACACATAAACACCAGCAGCCCTATTATAACACACATCAAACATGTAGACCAGAAGTTTTCAAAGTGGGAGGTGGACATCCCCAGGGAGCATTCAAACTGTTTCAGGAGAGGGTCAGTGAAAACTTATTACATTAGTTTTTAAAAGGAGATCACATAGAATAGCCTAAATGTGTGTAATTTGGTACAAAAAAATAAAGAGTGTGTTCAGAGAATTTTACCGTTTTTCCACACTTACCTTGAGGACAGACCTTTTTTAGTTATTTGGTGTTGTCTGAAGTAATGTCACACAGCAAGATTAGGCTATCTTGTCTCAATTGTTGAGAGTCTATGGGATCAAATAACACAATCATGATCCCATAGGCATCCAAGACTTGAGCAAAACTAACCAACTAAGGGGAGGTGAGGGGGTGCCTTTTTCCATGCTTTGTCTGAGGGAGTCCCACAGGCTCAGATGTAAACACATACCTCAAGGAAGTTGAAAGCAAAATGGTGCTCTTCCCCGCGTGCAGTCGTGTGGGCTGCAGAATGTGTTATCAGCATCAGAACAGTTTGAGTTCCAGATAATTGAAAGATGTTGAGGAATCTGTCTCACTCTGTCAAACAACGGCACGCACTCACATTTTTGGGAAACAGCTTCAATTACTTTTCCTTGCTCTCGCGTTTTTTTTTCAACTGTTTTTACTGTATCAGAAAAAAAAAAAAAGACTTCATTGCACTGCATATAAGTAAACAATTGTTTAATACTGTAAAAGGCTGGTGTTTGCCAAAAATACACTGATGAGATTCTGCAGGAGTTAATTGTGATGCAGGAAGTGCTGTCACACACTTAAGTACTTCTAGAATTATTATAATGCAAGTGATTTCCAGGACTTGTGAAAATGTGACAGTGATATTCAGCTTGTGTCATTTTATATGCTTCTTTTCATCTGCTGATATTTGTTGCCTCTATCCTTACTTCTGTCTCTTTCGTTTGCTTGTATCTCTTTCTCTCCTGGGTTTCACTTTCTACGTTTCAAATAAGTAAAAAAAGTTGGATTTTTGTCACTGTACCAGCTGCCTCTGAGCGGAAGCAGTTATGGTGAGAATAAATGGAGCAGCGACAGATTTACTTAAATCAGTGAGTATAACAATTTGACAACGGAATACTTCTACAAACATTGTGCATGCATTTGCAAATTGGCATTCCCTGAATCAAAGTGGCACAAAATTGAAATGTTTGTATTTCAGACTGATAGCAGAATTCTTTTTTTAAAGCAATAAGTCAGAAGAGGATATTTTTTACAGAGATGTTTGTAGGCTGTGCAGTGAGAAACCCTCTCAGTTAATCTAAAATTACTTTGGTACAGCCTCAAGTGGATTATTGCTTTTTATGGAACAAAGGTTACAAATTATAATGCAAAAAAGGTTTGTGTTCAATTCATCTTTTATTCTCTTAATCAATAAAAAATGAATTATATTCTTCCACCACTAAACCACCAGTTTTCTTACTACTTTCAAAATGTGAAAACACAACAGCTCATGCAGACTTGAAAAAGGACCATTTTCAGTTGTTTTTAGAAGTGACAAAATCTAAACTTGTCAAGATGATTTAACAGATTTCAGTCATGGGGACTTCCAACACTCAGGCCCGGGTTTGATGCGGTCAACTCTGGTTGGATTTTGACTCGACAAAGTGAAGGGCCAATGTCTTCAGACTCAAAGCTTTTCACTTTCAGAGTTCCAGATTTGCCCAACAAACAGACTTGCTTTGGTGGTTCAAATTGTCCTGTCAGTTTTCCAGTTGGCACCCATTTAGTTTAACAAAGCCTTTACTCTCGCTCCCCTCTGTCGTTCTCTCCATCTGTCCCTTCTCCTCTGGCCTTCTCAGTAACTGCTCCCTTTCTGTCTATTTCAATTTCCTCATTTCTTTTAGTCCCATTCCTTCCTTTGTGTTACTGTTTTTGCCTTGATTTTGCTAATCTTAAGGGTATTCATACAGTAAATTATATTCTCAGTGGAGCTCACAGGAATACAACTCACTCTACTGCTGCTACTACCTTGCTGCTAAAATAAAATACATGGGAAGAGACAGACTCAAATCCAGGTATTCATATTTGTGTGTCTGCATGTGCACATGTGTGACAGCAGAGAGCAGCTGGACAAAGGGATGGAAATGAATAATAAGTGGAAGACAGCTTTAGATTCCCCATGGAGAGATGAAAGAAGAGACGGATTTGGATAGGAAAGAGAAGGAAATGGAAGAATAGATGCATTTGTTGTGTCCATCCATCTTGCACCTTAAGATGCAAGCAGACAGTTGCTTAAAAAACACAGGAGCGCTGGATGATCAAAATGATTTAGGAGCTGTGAGAAAGTGAATGATAAAAAAAGGATGCAGGTACAGAGAATTGTGAGTTGGGACAATGTCACAAAATAGTGGATGAGACAAGTGTAAAAAAAAAAAAAAAAAAAAAAAAAAAAAAAAAGGTGAGACCAGGCGAAACAACAGACGTTATCTGCTTCAAGGCCCTCGACCATCATTTTAGGGCTTATATTAATTTTTTTTATTTTAATCTTGATGATTACAGCTCACAGCTCATGAAAGTCAATCTCAAAATATTGGAATATTAGAATAAAGAAATTATAATTATTCTGCTATGATGTGGACATAGTGGCTATCTTGGCAGATAGCTAACAGGTTCTTTAATTCCAGGAGACAGCAGGTAGGTTTGGGATGTTTACTGTTAGAAACACTGTGAAACTGAAATACAGAAAAAAATATAAAGGTCACAATTTTGCATATGAAGCTTGCTGTCACACTAACTACAATTAGCATGATGCTAACTTAATATGGAAAATGCCATTAACAAGCTAACGCGATTAACATCGCAATTGTTTTTTAATGTTTTCCACACAAATAAAATGCTGTTTCAAATAACCATTACAAGTGAGTCTCATAATGTCACACTCTGCCGGACAGCCATTCTTTGTGTTGCACTTTTTAGTTAGTATCTTCCTTATAGTATGTTGGGTTTTGGGGGTCTGTCTTGTCTGTCGTCTAGTGTTTGGTAACCCACTGAACCATACCTGCTCCGCTCTGTGTCCTGTGTTTGGGTCTTCCAACCTGCTCCACCCTGCCTTCACCACAAACCCGGGACAGAAAGCGGAGCAGGTATGGTTCAGTGGTTTTAATATAACAAAAAGCGAGCACACTTACCAACAGAGTGACTGATAGACTGAGTCCAAAAACAAGGGCTGTCCAACAGAAATACAAAATCCAATAACAGCAGGGAAACAGGGAGAGACGACAAGCGAGGCTGACGACACAAAACACACTGCTACACAGGGTGACAACATACAATGACCCGACAAAGACAAGACTGAAACACCAGGTATATAAACACACAGGGACTAACGAGCAGGGCGGGAGCAACACAGGTGAAAGACATGAGGCTAATGAGGCACAGGCAGGGAGAGAGAGCAGGGGAAAACAGAGGCAGACATGCAGAGGGTTACCAAACACTAGACGACAGACAAGACAGACCCCCAAAACCCAACATACTATAAGGAAGATACTAACTAAAAAGTGCAACACAAAGAATGGCTGTCCGGCAGAGTGTGACACATAAAAGATAAGCAATACTTACAGACATGTGTTCTGATGGATTAAGAAGAAACAAAACGGCGTGGCATGGAGGCAATCAGCCTATGCCCCTGCTGAGGTGTTATGGAAGCCCAGGTTGCTTTCATAATGGCCTTCAGCTCGTCTGTTTTGTTGGGTCTGGTGTCTCTCATTTTCCTCTTGACAATACCCCATATATTGCCTATGGGGTTCATGTCAGGCGAGTTGGCTGGCCAATCAAGCAGAGCAATACTATGGTCAGCAAACCAGTTACTAGTCATTTTGGCACTGTGGGCAGGTGTCAAGTCCTGCTGGAAAAAAAAATCAGCACCTCCATAAAGCTTGTCAGCAGGTGGAAGCATGAAGTGCTCTAATATCTCCTGGCAGACGGCTGCAATGACTCTGGACTTGAGAAAACAGTGGGCCAACACCAGCAGATGACATGGCACCCCAAATTATCACTGACTGTGGAAACTTCCCACTGGACTTCGAGCAACTTGTATACTCTCTACTCGTCCTCCAGACTATGGGACCTTGATTTCCAAATGAAACGCAAAATTTACTTTTATCTGAAAAGAGCACTTTGGACCACTGAGCAACGGTCCAGTTATTTTTCTCCTTAGCCCTGGTAAGACAATTGACATTGTCTGTGGTTCAGAGGTGGATTGATACAAGGAATGTGACACGTGTAGCTCATTTCCAAGACACGTCTGTGCCTGGTGGCTCTTGATGCACTAATTCCAGCCTCAGTCAACTCCTTTGGAATCTCCCCCAAGTGAATAGACTTTTCTTGACAATCATCTCAAAGCTGCGGTCATCCCTGTTGCTTGTGCACCTTTTACTACCACACTTTAACCTTCCATTCAACTTTCCATGAATATGCTTTGATACAGCACTCTGCGAACAGCCAGACCGTTCTGCAGTGACATTCTGTGGCTTTCCCTCCTCGTGAAGGGTATCAATGAGTGTCTTTTGGACAACTGTCAAGTCAGACGTCTTCCCCATGATTGTGGTTGTGTGGACTGAAACAGACTGAGAGATTAGAAGCTCTTCTCAGGTCGACATTACTTTATGATACATTCTTTATTCTAATGTCTTTAGACCCTTTTCAGTTTGCTTATAGGCAGGGGCGTGGCACAGATGACGCTCTTAATAGCATATCACATCTGGTCAGCAAACACCTTGAGGAATGTCAACTCTTTTATTCCCAACTGGTATTTTACTTTTTTAACAAACCGTACTCAACTGGTCAGAGTGAAGTCCAGGCCAGTCAGCACTAGTGCCCCTCAGGGCTGTGTCAGCTCCTCAGGGCTGTGTTAGCTCTCCAATGCTCTTTACACTGTATACTAACGACTGCACTAGACTCCACGCTGACAATTATATTATCAAATTCTAAGACGATACAGCAATCCTCGGCCTTATGCACAAAGATAGAAGCCCAGCAGCGTATCATACAGAAATTGAGGAATTTGTCCAGTGGTGTGATGACAGCTATCTTGTGCTAAATGTGATCAAGACTGAGGAGATGGTGTTTAACCCAAAGGCCATAAGTGACACCAGGTCTGTAGTGATCAACAACTCAGCCATTACTCAGGTTAACTCTTACAAGTACCTTGGTGTACATATCGATAATGCACTTAGCTGGTATGAATACTCTCTGCTCCAGACTTCAACAGAGCATGCATTTTTTAGGAAGACTTAGAGTGTATGGAGTCGAGCAGAAATTAATGTTGTTGTTTTATCATGCAACATTAGAGAATATTCTAAGATACGGTCTCACAGCCTGATATGGTAACCTGACACTACAGTCCAAATCACAGATCGCCGTCTGGTACAGACAGCCATGAAGATTATGGGGGTCAAAAACCATCCGGCCCTCCAGACAATTTATGAGCAGTCGGTTATCAGACAGGTAAAAAAAAAATATAGTCTCCGATCCAACCCACATACTTCATCCAGAATTTCAGCTTTTACCTTCTGGTAGAAGATTTAGGGTTCCTAAAAGCATGCTAAACCGATATAAACACTCATTTGTGCCTATGTCCATTAAGCTTATCAACGCTAACATGTAAGCTGGGTTGCGCACTATGTCATTGTGCAATAAGTAGGCTATCTGGGTTATGCAATATGTTAGTGGTGCAACACATGGGCTGTTGGATTGTTCAATATGTCATCATGTATTGCACAGGTTATGTGAAATGTGTCATTTGTGCAATATGTAAGCTATTGGCGTTGTGCTATTAGGGGTGTGCGATATCTCATCTTGCAAGGGTTGTTCTATATTGATTATTGATTGATACACTGATTTTCTTCACTTTAAAAGTGAGTTGAGGACAGTTATTCCCAACCAATGGTACCTCAGACCACCTATGCAGTGGCAATTGGGTACATGGAAAGACTGAAGAGCAGGTCAGCAATAAATGAATTTCTGATTAAAAAGAAATGCTTATAGTCAATTGATAGCCGAATCAGTGTGTTTGTGTGCAGCAATTGTGAGCGGGGGTTGGGTTACACACATTGCTCCCTTTTAATCTTGAGAAGCTGCAGAGCTGCATTCTCTTCATTAGTCATTGTAACTTACACTGTACATTTACAGTTAAACTGAGGCTTATTGTTAACCATTTTCTCTCTGCTCTGCTCGGCTGCCATTCACCAGTCTTGTGCAATTGTGCGCGCATGCCTTGCTGCCGACAGCTGCATGCACATCGCGGTTCTTCGTGGGTCTGTATTTGAGTACTAATTAAAAACAATATGATATTCTTTGTGTGGTTCATCAATAGTGATAAATTATAAGAACGTCCCATATTTCTATGTAGGGCTGGGCAGTATATCAGTATAATGAGGTATACCGATGTAATCTCAAAAGAGATATGACATTAGACAATACCATTTATACCAATATAGTTGATATATATATATATAGATGTTGAGTTAATTAACGTTTCCGTAAAGTCCTGCCAGCGTTTGTGTGTGTGTGTGTGTCTCTCTCTCTCTCTCTCTCTCTCTCTCTCTCTCACCGCGCAGCCACCCCCTCCCTCTGCGTCTGCACGCAGCCGTCTACTCACAAACTCTCAACAAGATGGAAGGAGACACAGTGCTGGTTGACATTGATAAAGACCTGGCTTGTAAAAAGAAAAACACAGTCCATTTAGTGTTTCCCACACATATACACTTTACTTCTGCAGTCCGCCCAGGTTAGGGAACACATTGTAGCATTTTTCAGAGAAACACGGTGATTACGTTACAAGTCGCGACACTGTGGATATTTTACAAGAGTGGACCAGGTAAAGCGACAGTGAACACACCAGTCAGATGTTATTCGTTAGCTACCACGTTGGTTTTGTTTTGATAGGCTACGTCCTCAACACACCTCCTCAACATACAGCTCAGCTGCTGTGAACGGAATCACCGGAGGAAAAGTCCAGAAAACTGTTGTTTCTTTTCAGTGTCTTTATACAGCCTAGCCTACTACTGATGGAGAAAGTCACCGGATATACAGGGAGAAAAAGACGGGAAAGCACCTTTTCCACTGCACAGTACCAGCTCGACTCGCCTCGAATCTGCTCTCCTTTTTTTGGTTTTCCATTGTGTAAAAGTTGTACTTCTACCTTTTTTTTTTGTATCACCTCCGTCTGTCTTTACATTCTGAGTAATGTTGAAAGTTTTAACTTAAATCAAGAGACAGCTGTTTGTGGGTCGCTGGTGTGAGTGTCGCATTTAACATAACATTGCAGCAGTTATGTGTGGCGTCACTATGACGACCAGCTACATTGAGGGGTACTATCTCTGGGTAATATCTGCAATGGAAAACGGAGAACAGCCAAACCCCCAGCCTGATACCGCTGGATGAATAGATAAACCGATGAAACAGTTAAAGTACTTAAGAAATGTTTGAAATAGCTTAAAGTAATGGCTAAACTTTGAAATAGTTAGGTAAAAGTAAAGGATAATCAAATAGTAAAACTATGGTTAGAAGAAATGTCCAGCTTATGCCACTCTGAGTTGTAGATGCATATACAATGTCAAACTTAACCCTCTATGGCATGAATTTTTATTTTAGGAGAAAAAAAATATTTTACCCTAGTTTCTGAGAGCTTGGAGTCATAAAATGTGTCCCCCCCAACTCATCCAACGAAGGTTAAAATCAAGGGCAACTGGACTTGGTTGAAGATACTGGAAGATGTTTCGTCCCTCATCCAAAGGACTTCTTCAGTTCTGAACTGCCCTTGATTTTAACCTTCGTTGGATAACTATGACCTGAAGAGACAGAAGAGAAGAAATCGTCTCGGGTTATGTATGTAACCCTGGTTCCCCGAGAAGGGGAACGAGACACTGCGTCGGTTACGACACTATGGGAACGCCTCTAGGCGTAGCAGGTCTGAACGTGAATGAAATCACTCCAATCCTATTGGCTTGTTGCTAGAACGGTAAGGTGTGACGGAATAACCGGAGGAGTATAAAGCACACCTGTACACACTCATCATTAGCTTAAACTATGAAGCAGGCGCTTCAGGCGGGGAGAGAGGTGCGGCGGGCCGATGCAGTGTCTCGTTCCCCTTCTCGGGGAACCAGGGTTACATACGTAACCTGAGACGTTCCCCTTCGAGGGAACTCGAACTGCATCGG